CATCCACTCGGCCCTTTCCACCAAGGCCAACTCTAGTTAGCCAACGCTAGCTCGTCCAACTCTAGTCGGTCATCTCCAGAAGGCCCGACCATCTCTAGGTGGCACGACTAGCTCTAGTCGGCTCGACATGCTCTGGTCACCTCGAAAAGCTCCAGTCAGCTTGATAAGCTCTAGTTACCCCATGCAGCTCTAGTCGACTTGTCCAGCACCAGTTGTCCTGACTAGCTCTAGTTGGCTAGAAAAAACATCTCTCCCAAGAAATTTCTCCAAAAAAAAATTATGCACAAAAATAATTTGTCTAAGGGAAGTTAAGTCACAAAGGAGTGAAGTCAAGCACCTAGAAAAACTCTAATATTAAAAATATCTCAAGACCGTCATCCTTATTTTTATTTTGTCGCATTTATCCTTTTTTCTTATCTTTCATTTTGAATTTGCCCATGACACTCGGGTACCTGCCTCTCACAAGCAAGTTTCTAAAGAGTAAAAGAAAAATGACCTATATTTTTAGACCTTGCTTAGCTTAATAGCCCAATGCTAGGGATGATTTTGCAGAAGCACTTTTCAAAATATAACTTGATCAAGAAAAGAACGTAAACAATTAACCTAGGGTTGAAGACGACAAGATCCCGATCAAGGTAAAATTGAAAAATTACGGCGTCTAGTCTCTGGAGGAGACCCATGTTCTCTAGACAAAAGAGTGTTCAAATTTAACAAAACTACTTAAATTTTTTTATAATCGCATCATGTTAAAAGGAAATAGTCAATCCAGTCACAAAAAAAGAGGAGAATTTTTTCACTAGGTTTGACCAGCTCCATATAGCCCGACCAGCTCCAGCCAACTCCAATCGACACACTAGCTCAATTTGGTCAGACCCGATCTAGTCCGCTCGGTATGATCCAGTCTGCCTAACCGGCTCCCTTTGCTCAACCAGATCTAGTCGGCTTTGTTTGATAGCTCGAATAGGCCTGACCAACTTCATTTGGTCATCCTCAGACGATGACATTGAATTAGGTATATAGTTGTCATTTTATATAAACTTTTTTTTTTATTATAAATTGAGGAGCTTCTAATATGAAAACACCCTTTTCTACTATTCATTTCTCTCTTTTCTCACTTATGTTCTATTCATTTGGCATGATTCACAAATAATCTCTAATTCAATATATAATCAATATTTCTCGATGCTAAGTGTTGTTGATGGGCTTGGCTGGGCTTAATGGAGGTAACATGATTGTGTTATTTGTTGATCCTCTTGTACAATGCCAATCCCGTTTGGGGTTGGGAACTTGATCTTAAGGTGTGGCACAGAAGTCACAATGCCAAAGATAGATTGCAGGGGTCTCCCAAAGATAGCATTACATGTTGATTCTGACTTGATGACGATGAATTGGATTGAGTGGATTGTATGTCGAGGAAAATCTCACATGACAACGAGGAGATTTATTGTTCTCTCGACTCTTACCGATCAATTATCAAAACTATATAAAGGACTGAATGCAAGTTGAAGTTTTTCTATTGTCAGTACTAAACTTAGGAAAATAGAGTAGAACAAGACATCGACAAATCTCCCATTGTCGATCAGGATCCTCTTTGCATTGTAGCAGGATTCACCAATTCTCGGGCTAATGACGCGAGGGTCTTGGTGGGGGACTTGAACTCCGTTCAAATCAAAATTATCAAAAGTGATAGGCTCGAGGCATAATTTCTTCTGCATTGGTTCACCAGGTGCAATGAAAAAGATTTGATCGGTCAACAATGGGCCTCTAGTTATTGTCTAAATTTTGCCTATTACTGGGTGACCCCCATGTTGTTGATTTTATGTATGTTACCCCCCGCCCCCCTCAGTGAGAGCATTATCGGAATCAACTGTTTGCACAAATTGGCCAAGATATCTATGTTGAATCAACCTTTCAATCTCTTTCTTGAGTTGTTAACTTGCCTCAGTGGTGTGACCGCGACTTCGATGAAAATGTCAGTATTGTTCCTGATTCCTTGAGTTAGGTCTTCGGGGGTGAGACCACTTAATAGTTTTCTCATCTTTGATGGCATCAAAATGTTAACACGCGCCGTGTTTAGTGGTGTATACTCTTTCTTAGGTCGATGCTTACTTTGCTGGCCAACAGGTTGGGGAGGGAGGTCATGATTCCTCTGTTGATCAGACTTTCTCCATTGCGTAGACTGATTATTATCTTCGACGTTCTTGTGCTTTCCACCCAAATCACTCAAATTGCACCTTATGTACTTTGATGATCTCATCCACAGTGATTTGAGCCACAACAAGATGGACAAGGTTAGCATAAGAACGAACTTTCTCATGCATTCATGACGAGTAGAAGGGTTCTGAGTGAAACCCCCAAGGAAAGAGTCCACTCCCGGAATCTCTCTCTTCCCCTCTCTCTCTTTTCTTAGTCTACCCGTAAGCCACCTACGGAAGAAGAAGCCTGTGAGAGCCGGACCAAGCGATTTTGTCACCTTCTTCTTACTCCAGAGTTCGGTCACAAAAGCTAGGAGAGTGCAGTTCGACGGCCATACGTAGGTATTTAAATCCAATTTCTCTTCTGCAAACTTTAATGGATGGTGGGACCCACTTCACTGGGAAAGGCGTGGGATTCATATAAGGAAGGCTGCAGAAGCTTTTAAAGGAAGGAATTACACAAGTAAACACATTAATTTGATGTCAAACACGAATAAATGTTAATTTAAATAGTGGACCGATTTTAATATTCTCAAGAGACTATTCAATAGTAATCTCCTCAATATGAAATAAAATACTTAAGATTTTGATATTTTCGAATGATAAAGTTGATCTCACTCTAAAATAGAGGGGCACAACAATCATCATGCATGAATCTCAAGATATTTCACAGATCTTAAGAATCCCAAGACATAACACGGATCTCGAAGCAACCTATTGAACAGAGAATATTCAAACTTTGATTAAGAGTAATCAAGAGCTTCGATTTCAACAAACATACAGTCAAATTGACCGGCTCGACAAGTGAAATCCAACGAGTCCAAGTTCACTCAATTTATACATCATTAAGACACTTAAATGTCCATCAAACACTGTTTGATCGAGGGAATCACTCGAGAGCGTCCGATCAAAGTGATTTATATTTCAACATTAATTGCACCGAGAACTCTTTAAATAAAACCCTAACCCTCTCATGATAGGGGGAGGGGAGTTTGAGATTTGATAAAGAGCTTGAAGTTTGAGAAGAAGCTGAAGTCCAACACCACCACCGCTGACCACCATTGACTTTCGTTGACCACCGTATACCGTCGCCGACTTTCGTCGATCACTATCGACCACCGCCGACAATTGTTGATTATTTCCAACTAACTTCAACCACCATCAACCAGACGCCGCCAATTGCTATCAGTCGCCACCCGTTCCTAGCAGCAAACTCATCAGCATGTCGACGTTGTAACTTAAGAAACTTGGTAACCCTTACCCGCCTGTGGGACAAGTGGTTGCAACTGTAATTATCTTTTTATAGTGAAACTTTTTAGCTGGGTCGGCGCCGTGGTTTCTCATTACAGGTTTTCACGTAAAAACTTATGGTACATTATTAATTGCTTTCTCGTTCTTGAATGTGTTGTATCTTCGTACTATGATAAGATGATAATCAATTACTCTATTGCCGCGAATTTTCTAGCACGCATCAGTTTTCATTAAATTTATTTTTTTTCTTAAGATTAATCTAGTACAAAAAAAAAAAAACTCATTAATCTTCATAAAATTCAACAAATTTAAAAATCATCTCCATGTAATTTGTTCGTGAACGGCTTGTGTTCGGCTCACTGAACAAACGAGCCGAACATGAACACACTTTCTAAGCTCGAAATATAAACGAGCCGCACAAGAGCAAACTAGGCTCGCTCGTGTTCGGCTCGTTTACACCCTACTTGGAACAATAGTTTGAGTGTGACATGCATAAATACATTGGCTCGACACTTCAAAAAATATCACGCACGCGCTAATTTTGTGAATTGCAATATTTCAAGTGACATATGTAATACAATTATCTATTATAATTATTAAGAATGTCATTTTAGTAACTTAGGCCAAAATCTCAAAATATTTCATCAACCAATGTGTAGAGTCTCCTTTAAGTGCAAATCATTCTTTTAGTATTTAATATCTTAATAATCTCACAATTAATTGATTGATTTCCGATTTTCGATTAATTTATGAACATACCAAATTCAAATGTGATTTGATCATTCAAATAATAATTTGAAAATTTCAATTATTCTTAAAATTATTATTTGAGGTGAATATTAGGGCTGTAAAAAATGCTCGTTTTTCGCAAACAGTTTGTGTTCGGTTCATCAATGAGTTCGTGTTCGATTAGTTTGATAAGTAAACGAGACGAACGTGAATAAATTTTTTTGGTTCGGTTAGTTAAACGAGCCAAACACGAACAGTGATGCGTTCGTTCGTGTTCAAATCGTTATTGTTTGAAATATAAAATAATTATATATAAAAAATTTATGATAGTTTAAAAAATTAAATTTTATAAATTGTAATATATAATAAAATAATAATAATAATATATTAATATACTATATTAGTAATATACTAATATTGATATTATATATTTATATAATATAAGTTATATAATTAATATAATATATTATTTATATATATTAATATTAAGGATATCAAACTGGTCCGTCGTTCGCGAACAACTCGTGTTCGGCTCGTTCGTTAAAAAACGAACACCAACAATGACTTTACGAACAATTTCGAACACAAGCTTATTTCAAACGAACCTAACACAAACACAAGCTGTATTCGTTCGTATTTGTTTGTTTACACCCCTAGTGAATATTATCAAAAAAAAAAAAAAAGTTCAATCTAACTATAAATTTATTAAATTGAACCTCACTTGATCCTAAACTTGACTTCAAATTCGACATTCGGTGATATATTCTTATTTTTTGAAAACATTTATACCAAAATTTATTATTATTTATAATTAGGACCCCCAATTTCCCCATAATTATAGTTATGGATTTACATTCCCCACCCCCATTCTCATCTTCTCCTCCTCCTCCTCCATGATATCGCTAATCCCACGCCCCCTCGTCTCCGGCAACAACAAAGCAAACCCCCCACCAACAATAATCACTATCCCAAACACCCCAAACGAAAGAAACCTCCTCCTCCTCCCCGCCGCCACCAACGCCGGCGCCGCAACCCCGCCGAGCACCACCGCCTGCCTCACCACCGCAATCGCCGAGCTCCTAACACACGTCGGAAACAGTTCCATGGCGTAAATCAGCAAAATATTAAACGCCGTGCAACCTCCGAAAAATGCTGCTAATTCCAATACCATCTCCGGCCAACTGCCGCCCCACGCCGCCATACAAGCAAGGCTAAATCCTCCCGTCACGATCGTTAGCCCCATCATCGATCCCCGTCGGCTGACCTTATTAACCAGAAGGAAGGCGATACAGGCGGATGGAAACTCTGCCACCGCGTTCAGCGCCACACTCAGATAAAGATTGGCGTTGAGATTCCCGAGACTGAGCGGCATTCCGTAGTACATCATTCCGATTCCAAAGCTCACCGCCATAATTATTCCCAATCGCCTCAAAGCCCACCGCTTTTCCCACAATCTCATCGCCGCGGAGTATAATCCTTCTGACTCTGTTTCTTCAGGGGACAACACTGGCAAGTCTGAGAAACTCTCTGTTTCTTTTAAAGATGAGAGCTTTTTCAGCGTTTCAATGGCTTCTTGTCTCCTGCCCTTGACGAGAAGCCAGCGCGGAGATTCAATCATGAAGAAATGGAGAAAAATGCTGTAAATGAATGGGGGGATGGAGATGTAGAGATAGAGCAGTCTCCATGAGGATGCTCTGTTTAAAAAAGCAATGATAGGGAGGGAGAGGAAGCCTATATCGTAGAAGATGTAGCTGAGTATGTTAATGTGGTTTCGGTGGCGGCGAGGGACGAGTTCGGAGGAGAGAACGAAGGCGGAGTTGCCGACATTCGAGCGGGCGAAACCACAGGCGAAGCGTAGGACGGCGTAAATGACGAGGTTGGGGGAGAAGGCGGTGAGCGCGGCGGCGAGAGACATGGTTAAGGAGGAGAGAACGAGGGACCGCTTGCGGCCTAAGCGGGAATCAGCGAGGGTGGCGAGGAGGAGGCCGCCGATAACGCAGCCGGCGAAGAAGGAGGAGGCCGGGAGTGCGAGGAGAACAGGGGAGGAGCACTCTAGAGAGAAGTCGGAGATGGTGGAGATGTGGCGGGGTAGGGAGGGGGACCAGGAGGAGGAGGGGAGATTACAGGGTGCGGAAAGGGAGGTAGTGACATTATTGCAACTGGGGGAGGTGCAGTGCCATGGCGGTTGAGAATCGGAGAAGACATTAACGAAGATTTGTTGGCCGTCGAAGATGGAGGTGAAGATGGCGAAGAAGGGGAAGATGAGATGAGAGAGACCGCCGCGGGAGGGGGACATGCAGCGTTCTATGGCGTCGTCGATGGAGTTTGTAGCGGTAACTTTATTTGAAGTTTGGCTTATTTTGACGGAGTTGCTGCCGGTGATTTCGCCGGCGTTGTCGAAGGGTGGTGGAGATGAATCCATGTTGGTCCACAGAACGGTTTGTGGAGATGGCATTTGAATGGCATTTGAATGGGGAGGAGATGGTGGATTAAAAGGAGTTTAAACAAAAGGAAGATTTGCAAAACATACCAATCAATTTCAAATTTACAAACATACCCCTTACTTTTTGCATCATGGGAAGATGATATAGTGATATTACTTATTTGATAGGAAAAAATATTTTAATATTTATATATTAAGGTTTTTTAAAGTGGAAGTAAGAAAAATGAAGGAAATTTATATTCTAGAACACAATTTTTATGTATTTACATATCTCAAAGCTAACTTTTTCATATTTAGATAAATAGCACTTTGGTGTTTTAACTTATATAAGCAATTTGGGATCTATCTAATAGCTTTATATGTAAATGTACCAAAATAAGGAAAATACAATCTTGGATCTATCTAATAGCTACCCTAAGAAAATTTATATATTACACATTATTTTAATAATTCAATTATTTATTTATTTAATAAAAAAATCATTTTTTAAAATGTATTTTTTCCGAATATTAAATGATTAAACCAACCACAGGAATATGCATAATGTCAAATTCCATGAATTTAATGTTGCAATCAATTTAGAGTGACATCAAAATACAACTTTAGCTTATATATATATATATATATA